GGCCAGCCGAAGCACCTCTGTTGTTATTTCTTCTCTTCCCAGACTGAGGAGTAGGCTTGTTCTGGCTCAGCTACAAGTGGGGAAACAGAGGCCCAGAGACAGTGCCCTCTTCATGTCTGCCGAAGCTTCCAGGGCTTACGGAGGCCCTGTCAGTTGGTACCCCCAGCTGATGCGTGAGTGGCCAACGTGCCTCACGCGCGGCTTCTAAGCCCCAGTGTGGCTGCCAGATGCGTTGCCCAGGTCTGAATTCAGAGGCTGCATCTGGGTCCCGTGGATGACGAAAGGTCCAGTCGTGGTTCCTGGGCACAAGAACGTGCTATGAGCTGTCCTCCCTAGGGGACCTCAGGGACCCCTGGCATCCTATGAGAGGAGGTGGCTCCCCTCTGAGGAGTTCTTAAGGGAAGGCCTAACTGTGTCCATCAGAGGAGGGGAGGGGCAGACTTGGGCTGGAATCCTATAGCTGCCTTTTTACCACAATCACACTCACTGCTGTGGAGTCGGTTCTGACTCACAGTGGCCCAATAGGACAGGGTGGAACTGCCCCCGTGGCTTTCCGAGCTTAGTGGGAGCAAAAGCCTCCTCTTTCTCCCAAGGAGTGTCTGGCAGATTCATACTATTGACCTTGTGGTTAACACGTAACCCACTAACCACCAGGGCTCCTGAGCTCTCTTTGAGCTCTCGCCAGTTTTCAGAGCTCGAAGTGGCCAGAAAGCGACAGACCTTTCTTGCTAGAACAGGGCCCCCGCGTTTCCCCTGGTGCAGGTCTACTGTCTCCGTTTGTTGGGCCCCTTCACTGTTACCCATCTACAGAAGGGAACACTGAGAGGAAGACAGCTACAGGAGGATAGGGCCTGGTGCTCTTCCTTCCCGGCCTTGGCTTGGCCCAGGAGACCACTCACAGCCGTGCTCCGACCCCAAACCCCTCCCTCCCCAGGTGGCTGGATGCTGAAGATTACTCAGGTGCAGGAGCAAGACACGGGCCTTTACTCATGCCTGGCAAGCAACGAGGCTGGGGAGGCGAGGAGGAACTTCAGCGTGGAGGTCTTGGGTATGTCGAAGCCCCATCAATCCTTCCTTCCCCGCCTGGGCCTTCGGCAGGGGCATTGGTCCAACCCCCAAATGTCTGTTCACCTCACTGCCCTCTCTGCCTGTGGAAGCACGTGGGGAGGTGCGGGTAAGAGGGAGGGGTGTCCTTGGCTTATTGCTCACAGATTTCAGCCTGGGCGGCCAACCCCAATCAGTAACGGTCTGGCTCCCTGCTTCTCCCAGTTCCTCCCAGCATTGAGAAAGAGGACCAGGAGGAAGTGATCAAGGTCCCAGAAGGGCAGACAGCCTACCTGACATGCAATGCCACAGGTAAGGGAGGGTCAGAAGAGGAGTGAGAGCCCCTCCTCCCACTCCCCACAGAGGTTCTCTCTATGTTTGGGACATGACTCTGTCCCTGCTCATCTCTGCACTGCTGTCCCCTCTACTGCCAACTTTCCACCCCATTCCTCACCTGTCTGAAGATCTGTGTCCAGAACCTTCCTCCAGGGGGCTTAGATCCCCACAATCCCCTGTGGTCTCCTGTTCCAGGTTAGACAAGGCTGGGCCATAGAGGTCTTGTGACTTCTGTGCTCCCATATCAGGCTCTGAGCTCCTGAAGACTGAGGGGTGGCCTTGTCAATAGAACCTTCCTAGAGCTGCTGCTAGTTGCCATCAAATCAATCCCAGTGGATGGTGGCCCGGTGTGTGCAGAGTAGAACTGCCCCCTCGAGGCATCAGGGCTGTATCCGTTTAGAAGCAGATGGCCAGGCCTGTGTCCTGAGGTGCCCCTGGATGCTTTCAGCCACCAACCTTTGGTCTGTAGTTGAACAGTTCACTGTTTGCACCACCCAGGGACTGCTCTATTGGCCGAGTAGACTTCCATTAATGCCGTGGGCTGATGGATAGATGAGTGGATGGATTGATGAGTAGATAGAGGGATGGGTGGATGGATTGATGAGTGGATGGAAGGATGGATAGGGGAATTGATAGATGAATGGTTGAATGGTTGAGTGGATGGATGGATGGATGGATGGATGGATGGATGGATGGATGGATAGATGGATGAGTGTATGGATGGATGGATTGATGAGTAGGTGGAGAAATGGATGAGTGGATGGATGGATTGATGAGTGGATGGAGGGCTGGCTGGCTGGATATATGGATGGATAGATGGATGAGTGTATGGATGGATGGATTGATGAGTGGATGGAGAAATGGATGAGTGAATGGATGGATTGATGAGTGGATGGAGGGCTGGCTGGATATATGGATGGATAGATGGATGAGTGTATGGATGGATGGATTGATGAGTGGATGAAGAAATGGATGAGTGAATGGATGGATTGATGAGTGGATGGAGGGCTGGCTGGCTGGATATATGGATAAATGGTTGAGTGGATGAGTGAATGGATGGATAGATAGATGAGTGGATGGAGGGCTGGCTGGCTGGCTGGATATATGGATAAATGGTTGAGTGGATGGATAGATGGATGAGTGGATGGATGGATGGATTAGTGGATGGATAGAGGGGTTGATAGATGGATGAATGACTGAGTAGATGAGTGGATGGATGGATGGATGGATGGATGGATGGATGGATTGATATAGTGGATGAAGAGCTGGCTAGCTGGCTGGCTAGCTGGATAAATGGTTGAGTGGATGGATGAATGAATGGATGGATGGACTGATGAGTAGAGGAAGGGAGGGATAGATAGAAGGAGGAATGGAGGGAGGAAAGAAAGGAAAGAATAACTTGTCTTTGTGTCTTGCCTATGTGTATTGAGCAGCTTCTGTCCACTGCTTAGTGAGGACAAGGCAATCGAAGCACACAGGAAAGGGGTGCGGGCAAGGCCTGGTAGCTGCTTCTCTGTCCTGCCCTGCTGCCCAGGCCTCTGCACCTGGATGGAGAATCCATGTCCACTGCCCCCTTCCAGAGACGTCTTTAACCTGGCTGACCTGGTCGAGCCTGCTGAGCTATATCTACCCCACTTCTTTTCCTGTGTGGACAGGCCACCCACAGCCCAAGGTCAGATGGTTCAAAGATGGCCGAGCCCTAACCAGTGGAGACGCCCACCACATCTCCCCAGATGGAGCCAGCCTGCAAGTCCTCCAGGCCAACCTGTCCAGCGCTGGCCACTACTCCTGCATCGCAGCCAACACTGCCGGGGAGAGAACCAAGCACCTGCAGCTTAGTGTCCAGGGTAAGTGTTGGGGCTCAGAGACAAGCTGATAGGGCCCACCAAACACTTACTGGTGTTCTTCTGCTTCTTCAAGTTCAACACAACACTGTCAGCAGATCTATTGATTGAACCTCTGTCACGGGCCAGGCACTTTGCCAGGTCTGAAGGGTTCTTCCTCACACACACCCTGGGAGGTGGGAGATACACCTGCCCCCTGTCTCCAAGGAGGCACAGAGAGAAGTGAGTCATGCCAGGCCCTGGGGGTGGATTCCCAGCCAGGCCGTGTCTCCTGAGGGCACCGCACTGTCTACTAGGTTGTAGCAACAAGAACCCTATAAAGACAAGAGGGGTCCAGATGTCGCCAGGAAATTTTATTTCTGAAAGTGCTGGCGTGGCTGTGTGTGGCGGGAGGAGCATCCCGCAGGGACTGAAAGAGAAATGTTAAGGGCAATGACAGTAGAGGGACTCGCCTGCTGGGGACAGAACAGTGGGTCCTGGTTTGGCAAGTGGGGGGCGGGGAGCCACCAGACCGGAAATATAAAGACGTGAGGAGGCTCTGGTTACATTCATAGATATCTTAGATGCTGAGAGACTATCTGGGAAACACAGGCAAGGACTATCCAGTTTAGTGATGGAGAGCCCGGTCACCCACCCAGGTCCAAGTTCACATCTGGCAGCACCCTGGAGTGAGCTCTGCGCTCAGTCTCTTCATCTGTAGACTGAGACGGAGTAGCTCTAAGATCAGGTGCCCCAATCTGAGGTCTTCTTGGTTCCTTGAGGATCCTCAGGGTTGACCCCCGCTCATGAGCACCCCCCCACCCCCCATGACAGTCGTTCCCACCATCCTGGGAGTGACCGAGGACAGCGCAGACGAGGAGGTGACCGTGACCATCAACAACCCCATCTCTCTGATCTGTGAGACCCTGGCCTTCCCCGCCCCCACCATCACCTGGATGAAGGATGGGTCCCCGTTTGAAGTTTCAAAGAACATCCAGCTGCTCCCAGGTGATGCCTTCAGTGGGGGGAGCGAGGGAACAGATGATCTGTCGACAGATTGGGTGAGAGGGAGGGGACCGTGAGCCTGAGCTGCAGATGCCTAATGAGGCTTTAGCTGCCAGGTGACCCTTGCTGCCGCCCCCCCAAGCAGGTACCCACGGGCTGCAGATCCTGAATGCCCAGCAGGAAGATGCAGGCCAGTACACCTGTGTGGTCACCAACGAGCTCGGGGAGGCAATGAAAAATTACCACGTGGAGGTCCTCAGTGAGTCTGGCACCTTGGGAGTACTTCAACCCCACCGCACCCCTGGTGGGCCCAGCACTTATCTCCTCTGAGGTTCCCAAGGCAGCTGGGGTGGGCTGGCTCATTTTCTATTTGGAGCTGAGGACACGCAGGGTCAGGGAATGGAGAGTTGGGACATGGGCTGTATGGATCTCACACCCACACCAGCCCCGGCTTCTCTCCGCCGCTCCAGTGTGGGGTGCGACCAGAGGGCCCTCAGTTTGAGACTGTAGAATCCCCAAGAATGGCCTCAGGAGGTGGGTCAGTGCGGGAATCCCCCTGCCTCAGACCTGCCCTGTCCCATTACCACCACAGACACGTGTGTCTCTGGACAGAAGAACCCCAGGGCTTCTGCTCCTCAGCCCCAGCCCTTGCTTTGGGGCCCGTCCCGGGAGCTGGGCGCATGCAGGGTGTCCTTACCCTTCCCCCAACTCTAATCCTCAGACCCCCTTGTGGTTTTCAGTCCCCCCTTCCATCTCTAAAGACGACCCCTCGGGGGAGTTTGGCGTGAAGGAAGTGAAGACCAAGGTCAATAGCACCTTGACCCTGGAGTGTGAGTGCTGGGCTGTGCCCCCACCTACCATCAGCTGGTACAAGGACGGACAGGTGAGTGGAGACCCCTAGGGGGCCTCGGGCTCTGAACCTGGAGGTTCCCATGGTCTTCTTGGAAGCTTCCAGAAAAAGGCAGCCCTGAAAGCACTCGGCACCAAAGTTGGTCCGGGTTCCCTTAAAAAATAATTTTAAGAATTATTTTTTAACAGTTTTATTGGCGTATAATTCACACGTCATACACTTCAATCGTTCAGTCATATTAAGAAGAGTTGTACCATCATCACCACAATCCATTATAGAGCACTTTCTTTTTCCTGGTGCTCATTATTGTCAGCTCCCCATTTCCCCCCAACCTCCCTGGCACACCCCCGAGAAAGCACTCAGCCAGGGGTCGGACACGGGCTGCATCGATGGGTTCAAACATAAGAATAGTCGTGGGGAGGGCGCAGCACCGCACGGTGTTCTGTCCTGTTCAGGTCCCCTCCTCTCTGACCTCTGTGCCCCCCGCCTCCTCTCTCCTAGCCTGTGACGCCCCACGAGCGACTGCATGTCCTGGGCGAAGGCCGGCTGCTCCAGATCCAGTCCACCCAGGTCTCCGATTCAGGGCGATACTTGTGCCTGGCCACCAACGTGGCTGGCGAGGACGACCAGCACTTCAACGTGCTCATCCAGGGTGGGTGCTGGCCACTGGACCAGGGGCCCGGGCAGGGGAGTGGGGGTGGGGGGAGGGTGCCCTCCAGGGTCAGAGCCTATGTGGGGGGGACACTCACTGCCCTTCATCTGCCCCGGAGCCTGCTGCCCTGGCTCCGCCCACCTCAGCCATCTCACACTGAGCCATTGCTTTGTGGAGGGTGCAGGTTCCCGTGCACATTTAGTCTACAGCCCCCTGCCCCCAGGGATCCCAGGAGCTGTAGTGGTGGCTCCCTTAGCAAGCACGCACTTGTCCATGCACCTCCCACACGTAGTCCCCGGGAACCATCTCAACAACCCGAGACCCTTTACAGCTGATGGCATGCGGTCTACAGAGATGAGCGGGCTTCCTCCCAAACCACAGCCTCATTTCGAACCAGGTCTGAGCGAGCCTAAACACTGTCTGTAGCCCCTCGGACAGGCCCCCGGGCTCTAATAGGAGACTCGGGGTTCCCAGGTCAGAGTGAGGCGCGTGGCTCTGAGCCACTCCTGTTGTGGGTTCATGATCCTCTCTCTGTTTTTCACAGATTAGAAACTTTTTCTTAAGAAAGAGAAGAGGAGGCGAGGGAAGGCCACAGGGGTGGGGGGTAGGAAGGGGAGAAGCTAGCTAAGAAAGGAGGCAAGGGACAGGTGGGCACCGGAGGGTCTCAGGGAGGGTGGCGGATGAGTTCAGACAATAGATGCATGAATTGTGGACGATTCAACCAGTGACCGATTCTTCCAGACCTTCAGCCAGGTCACAATGTATGCATCGTGGTAAGAGTTGTGCGAGCCCCCAATAAAATGATTGAAGAAGAAAAAGCAAATGCATCCCTGCATATCAGGGAGAAAACAAAAGTTAAAAGGAAGGGGAGGAAGAACGGTGGCAGGCAGGCTTGTAAGCCAGGTTGTGCTGCCCCGTGCATGCTTCTAGAGAGGACTGGGCTCTCGGGCCCCAGGACAAGAAGGGAAGGAGGTGGCTGTACTCTAGCCCCAGCTCTGTCACCTGTGTTCCTTTGGGAGGTCGCTGTCCCCACAGGACTTTGCTTTGGCCTTTTGTAAAACGTGGGCACTCCAGTCAGGTGACCTGCAGGGCCCCCTCCGGATCCCCAGGCTGCTGGTTTTAGTCCCTCTTTGCTGGGACACCTGTACTCTCACTTCCTCCTCCCCCGCTGCTTCTGCCCAGCGAGGACCCTTTCCGAGTCCCCTTGGTCTGAGATCTAGAAGGCACTCATCTGAGCGGCCAACCCAAAGTCATTGCTCAATAAACACAAGCGGACGACGGAGTGCGTTCCCCATGCTCCCCCAGGGAAATGGCCCAATAGTGGGTGCCTGTGAGATGGAAAGCCTTAGTGCCTTTGTCTGCCCACCCTGCCCACCCCTCCACAGTGCCTCCCATGTTCCAGAAGGTGGGCGATGCCAGTGCGGGCTTTGAGATCCTGTCTCAGGAGGAGGAGGCCCGGGGCGGGGTGACGGAGTACCGGGAGATTGTGGAGAACAACCCCGCCTACCTGAACTGCGACACCAATGCTGTCCCACCCCCGGAGCTCACCTGGTACCGGGAAGACCAGCCCCTCTCGGCCTCTGACGGGGTGTCCGTGCTGCAAGGTACCTCTGCTGGGAGCCAC